TCTCAGGCCCGAATATTTGGAGGATTTTATAGAATACACGACAAAGATCTTCTCGTTTTATCGTTTTATAATTAGGATTATTATTCTCAAACTCTATTGGTTTTAATTCGTAAATGATAGCTTTGCTTTCATTAAGTTGCAGTCTTGGCTCGTTTGATTTATTAGTTAAATTCTGCAAGTTCACAAACAATGGAAAAGGATCTTGATTTAGGGATAAAGCTTGTTTTATTTGGAATTTAATTCTTTTAATCTGAACTCGACGTCCACCTTTTTGGGCATTAGCGGAAGAGTGTTAGAATATAATTGAGAGTTTGATTGTAATTGATTGATGTCACGATCTTTGAAATTATAACGGTTCAGAAAGTTCAAACAAAAAGGGAAAAATCTACTCTCAAATTGAGTATAAGGTGAGTATGAATCATATAAAATTCAAGAAAACACGAGGGAGGGTCCCTATTGTCCTTTTGTCAGTTCTGTGGCAATCCCACCGCTGCCACCAAAATTTAAAAAAAAATGTCACGTCCTAGTGACCTTCCTACTCTCTCTCTCTCTATTCCTAGGCTAGAAAGAATGGGGCGCTCTCTATTTTTTATGAGGCAACCTGCTTCCACCGGCTATACCTCAGGGACGTCGAGAGCACGGACTATACTGTGGAACTAGGGACCGAGTGTTGGGACGTTGGGGATGGGGAATTCTAGTTACTAGTGAAAAAAGGATTTCTACTAGCAATTCTTTCTAAACTATCTAATGAATTTATCAATTGATCGACTGTAATTTCCCCATTTAAATAGTTGTTAATTAATAAATTCAATAGCAAAAATATAATATAACTCAAATTTAAGGTCTTGAGAATCCCTCATGGGGTCCTATTATTAAACAATTATTAAATTATGCGAATTATTGGTTTTCGCGAAGTCTCACGTTTATCGTGTGCAATGGATCTGGAATGTTATCTAAACAGACGAGAAGTTGGTCTAAATCGATGTTTCCCTCTAAAACGTCTGTTAGTAGGGTGATAATTATACTTATTATTGTATGAATTTCTTCGTTAATTAATTTCCGATTTTCTTTAATAGTAAATTCTGATGACATTTGAGAAACGATTCAAAAATGTAAATAACTAGCATATTGATTGATTTTGAATGAGATATCCGGACACTGTTCTTCTAAGAATTCTATTAGATCCTGGGAGATATCCTCCTCTATTTCCGATACTAAATCGCACAGTTCTGTGAATAATGATGATTCGAAAATGTTGTCGTCAAAATAAAAAAAATTAAGTAATTCGCCAATTGAGGGTTCGATCTTTGTGTCTGGGAAGGTTCTTTCGTTCGTAAAGAGGGTTTTGTCAAAGGCTTGTTGCTGGAGCCAACGTAGAGTAGATGCGGCGCGTTTAGCACGAACCTTTTTACCTGCTCTATAATTACGTTTCTTTCGATATTTGATCTTCTAGTTTCGCGACTTCATGAGGCATAGAATGGTAGTGAAGTCAGGGAGATATTAATAAAGAAAATGTACTGATGGAGATTGCCTCAATGTCGTATTAATATCTTTGTTAATTTACCGCTGGTTCCATCAATTGTATTTAGACATTAGGAGAATAATTAAATATCTAGATAATTAGCAATATTGATCGATTTCAAGTAAATTGTCTGGACACTGATCTTTTAATGATTGTATCAAATCCTTACGATGAGTTTGTTTCTGAGAAGTATCTTCTTCTATTTGTGATACTAAATCACACAATTTTGCAATTAGTAACTGTTCTAAGAATTGGTCTTTTATTGTTTGTACTTTGTCCGTAGGATAAAATTGTTCCGGGAAATTATTTCTTTCTACTTGCGATACTAATTCGTGTAATTCCATGATTAGTAACTGCTCTAAAAAATCGGTTTCTGAACTAAATTTATTAGATGGTTTGTCTGGTAAGAATTCTATCTCGAAGTCGGGAGAAATTCCTTTGTCTGAGATTGGTGATAACTCTGGGAAGTTAGTTCTGAGTTCAAAATAATTAAGTGCTTTTTCTATTAAAGAATCAATTGAACTTGGTAGTTCGGGAGTCAAGAATTCAAAGAAATTAAGAGATTGGTTGATCGAGGGTTCGGTCTCAATATGAGGGGGAGTTCCTTTGTTCGCTACGAGCTTATTGTCAAGATTTAGCTGAATAGATGAAATCTTCAATTTTTTTATAGTCTCCGGAGAATAGGTTACTTCTTCACACGATTTGATGCGAGGTTTATTATCTGGTGACCGTCGCCTGAGCCAACGTAGAATAGATGCGGCACGGTTAGCACGAACCCTTTTCCCAGCTTTGTGTTTACTTTTATTCCGACGTGCGATTTTCTGTTTTAATGTTTTCATTTATAATACGTTATGGAATAGTAGGAAAATGGTTATCAATTTAATATAAGGGTACAATTGAGAAGGATGTATTGAGAGAGATTGCGTTTATTGAACCAATTCCAATTAACTAAGGAATTTATCAAAATAATATTTGTTAAATTATTGATCTCCTAGTATCATTTTATTAGGAAAGAGAGAGGTGAAGGTTAGGTTAGGTCTACAATACAGTCCAGTGAGGGGGGGGAATAAAAATCCACCAAAACCGGTTCAAGCAAGAGCTAGAACCAAGGGGGGTAGTCTCGAGGAGGGGAGTAAAACCTCGTCATCAAGATGAAGGCTCTCCTCCTACAGGCAAATATCAATCACTTCGCCAGGGCACAAGATCTTCTCATGCAACACCTGGCAGAGCCCTACCATGTCCTACAAAAAGACAATTGGGTGGGGGATGAAGCGGGCTCCGTCACCATCATCGGCAAATCAGAGAAAGGAGCGCTCCCCCTATCCCTGCTGGGAAAGGGGGAGGGCTACGTTTTATCTAGGTGGGGGGAAACTGTCGTGGTAGGGGTGTACTACTCTCCAAACAGAGACCTCGCCCAATTTGAGAGGTACCTGGGCAGGCTGGCGGACGAGATAAGCCGCCACCTCCCGGGTAGAGTCCTGGTTATGGGGGACCTCAACGCAAAATCTGACGCGTGGGGTTCCCCAGTGACCAACGCCAGGAACGAGGTCTTGGAAGAGTGGGGGGCACAACTCGACCTTCTAGTCATCAACAAAGGGTCGAAGTTCACATGCGTGCGGAACAACGGGGGATCCGTGATAGACGTCACATGGGGATCCCCACAAGCCGCGCGCATGATTAGTGGTTGGCGGGTTATGGTAGGGTCGGAGAGTTTATCTGATCACAGATATATTAGGATGCGGGTCTCCGACCCCTCAGCAGGACGCCAGCCACGCCCCCAGGAGGAGAGACGGGGTGCACCCCTATCCCCCAGATGGGCACTTAAACGCCTTGATAAGGACGCCCTGATGGCGGCCGCCACGGCAAAAGTATGGGAAGAATGTCCCACGCTTGACGCCTGCGACGCAAATGAGGAGGCGGCCTGGTTCCGGTCGACTTTGACGGAGATCTGTGACGCCGCCATGCCGAGGTGCCAGGCCAACCACAAAAGGAGGGGGGTGTACTGGTGGTCTCAAGAGATCGCTTGGATGAGAGCGGTGTGCATTCGCTCGAGACACCGGTACACCCGATGCAGACGCAGGCGTCATACCGACGAAGAGGCGGCCGAGCTGCTGGAGGACTATAAGTCAGCCAAGAAGACACTCCAGCAGGCCATCAGGGAGGCCAAATCCCGGGCCTGGGACGAGCTCTTGGAGACCCTCAATAAAGATCCGTGGGGGCGGCCATACCGGATTGTAAGGAAAAAGTTGCAGTCCGGGGGGTCGCCTATCACAGAGGGTCTCCAGCCAGAAATGTTAGAAGAGGTGGTCACCACCCTTTTCCCCCCAGACGAAGCGGAGGAAGAGGGCGGGGACAGACCCCGGGGTCCTACAATCCATAATGGATGGAACGAGGACCTTGGGGTCACAGGAAGAGAGCTCGTCCGAGCGATTAAACGGCTCCGGGCAAAAAACACAGCCCCGGGGCCGGACGGAATACCGGGAAAGGCCTGGGTTTTGGCCTTGAACGTCCTTGGAGGAAGAATGAGGCAGCTCTTTGACTGCTGCCTTAAAACGGGCCAGTTTCCATCAATTTGGAAGGATGCGAAGCTGGTCCTGTTAAGAAAGGAGGGGCGCCCCGCAGAATCCCCTGCGGCGTACCGCCCCATTTGTTTGTTGGATGAGGCGGGCAAACTGTTTGAGAGAGTAGTGGCTGCCCGCCTCAGAGACCACTTGTCGGCGGTGGGACCCGACCTCGCAGAGTGCCAGTATGGATTCCGAGAGGGCAGATCGACAATAGATGCGATCATGCATGTCAGGGCCCTCTCGGATGAAGTGGTGGAGGGGGGCGGCGTGTTGATCGCGACGAGCCTCGATATCTCGAATGCGTTCAACACGCTGCCCTGGAGGCACATCCGAGAGGCACTCCAACACCATGGGGTGCCTCAATACTTGCAGGACGTGGTCGGGGACTATCTGAGAGACAGGTGGATCTCGTACACGGGGCGGTACCAGATGCCGCACCGTAAGAAAATAAATAGAGGGGTTCCACAGGGGTCGGTCCTGAGGCCGCTCCTGTGGAACATCGGGTATGATTGGGTACTGCGAGGCGCACTTCTCACGGGCATGCACCTTGTGTGCTACGCTGACGACACACTGGTGCTCGCCCGTGGGAATAACTGGGGGAAGGCCCGACGTCTATCATCGGTGGGCCTCGAGTTAGTAGTGGAGAGAATCCGCGCCTTGGGACTGAGTGTGGCCCTCCAAAAGACCGAAGCGATCCATTTCAACGGGGTCCACCTCAGTCCCATATCGAAGTGGAGGGAGTCCGGGTTGAGGTGAAGCCCCATCTTAAATACTTGGGGCTCACCCTCGACAGTCGGTGGAACTGGAGGGAGCATTTCCGTCGCCTAGCCCCCCGAGTAAGAGCGGCAGTCAATGCAATCGGCTGCCTGCTACCAAATATCGGGGGGCCCAAAGAGAAGATACGCCGCCTCTATATGGGGGCAGTGGGTTCGATGGCGCTCTACGGAGCGCCAGTGTGGACGGGCGACCTGATGGCACCAAGCCAAAGACTTCTGATGGGGCTACAGCGGAAGCTGGCCATCAGGATCGTCCGCGGATATCGTACTGTCCCATTGGAGGCGGCGTTAGTGGTGTCGGGATCAATCCCTTGGGACCTGCTGGCGGAAGCGTATCAAGAAATGTACGACCAGAAGAGTGACCTCCGCCGGTGGGGACTGGTGATGACACCAAAGGCGACGGAGGCAGCCCGGCAAAGGACCAAACAACGCGCGGTGGCAAAATGGTCGGAGGATTTACTCCGACCAAGAGCCGGAGTGCGCACAGTCCAAGCCATCCAGCCAATTTTTCCAGAATGGTTGTCGAGAAAACCCGGACTTTCGTATAGGGTCGTGCAGGTGATGGGTGCTTCGGTGAGTATCTGCACGACAAAGCAAGGAGGGAGCCGACAACAAAATGTCACCACTGCGACGAGGTCAGGGACACGGCGCAACATACAGTTGAATTCTGCCCAGCCTGGGCAGAACAGCGCCGTGCCCTGACCGACAAGATAGGTGGGGATCTGGGGCTCCCCAGCATGGTCAAGGCCATGCTGGAGAGCCAAGAGAAATGGGAGGCGGTCGCCTCCTTCTGCGAGGATGTCCTCACGCGGAAGGAGGTGGCCGAGAGAGAGAGAGAGAGAGGCTGACCCTGACGCGCACCCAATGCGCCGAAAAAGTGTCGGTGCGAGGGGGAGGAGGTTCAAGCGGCGATATAGCGAAGTGGAGGAGTCTATGGAGAGGCGGGGCGGGATAGAGGGGAGAAAACCTCTCTCCCCGATCCCGCCTGACAGAGGAGAGAGGGAGGACTCCTGCGGGGACCAAGGCCGAATCCCAACCCATTCTGGGGAAGGAGGGAGCCTGATCCCCGGGGGAGAAATGTAACAGGAGAAGCGAAACGGAGGGGACGCGCGACCCCCGCCCCTTTTTTTTTTTTTTTTTTTATAGTGAGGAAATTTGCTTTAACCAACAAACCGTACCGACTGGGTCCTGAGGGAGGACCCAGAAGGCGTGTGGGGGATTCTCCACCTCTGAAGGAGGTGGCCTGACCCAAACCTAAAACCTCACTGAAACCCTTGCCTTGACGGGTATTCTCCACCGGGAACCGCTTTCGCATAACTTCCAGTGGACACCCTCGGCCATGACCCCTTTCGGGGCTCTTCCCCCTGGAAGAAGATGGTGTCTCTTCCAGGAAACATTCTTCCCGCGCCACTCTCCCTACCTGGGAGAGGGCAGCAAGAGGGAGCCGGGTTCCGAACCCCCTTTCTTCGTCCCAGGGACAGCGTGCAATGAGATTGGAGCCCTCACTCCTCACTCGTGCCGTCCCCGACGGAAGCGGTGAAAACCGCCCGACGATAAACAACAAGGACGTCACATGGACATCACAAGACTGAGACGTCACAAGGACATCACAAAACTAGAACACGGTGCACAAAACATGTACACAACCACAAGCGTGACCAGACTGAGTAAGGGCCACAGGCCCAGCCCACAGAGGGCTAACATAAAAGGCGCAGAGGCTGAACCACATTGAGTGGGTGAAAGGATGGTATTTCACCCACAACAAAAGACAACGAGTTGACTAATGACAACATTAAAGACCACAGACAGAGAGCGTAACCGAACCCGCCAGTTCTGATTAAGGAACAAATTGCAGGCCGCAGCTCCCATAATCCACAGTGTGCGAGGACAGAGACTAGGACAGAGAGCGTAACCGGACCCGCTTGCCTCCCGCAAAGAAGGACGAGTGCAGGCCGCAGCTCCCATAACCACATTAGACACGACTAACGAGAAGACATTGAGGAGGTCGAAGGGATCGCAGGGTCACCTAGCGGCGCCCCCGGCGACCCCCCGGCCCCCGAAACACTCATAGCCTCCGGAGACCCACCCACAGGGGAGGGCCCACCGGAACGCCGACGACCTTGAGGGGAGGAACCAGACCTCCATAATCCTTTGGGAGGAATGATCCTCCTCGCACACGCTCCCGAACCGGCCCTGTGTTGCGAGGGCTTACCGGCCCCTTTACACGCCAGACAGAGAGGCGGCGCCACACATTTGGCAGCCAAATGCCCCTTCTGGCCACATCGATAGCAGCATCCGCTGCGATCCACCTCCGCCTCGCACCTATTGGCGGTGTGTCCAAAAGCGTGGCACTTGAAGCATTGCAGAGGGCGGCGGGCAAGTGACATAACCGTCAACACCCACCACCCCCGCCCGACCTGATGCTTCCGGCTTTAATCAGCCTACGCGCAGCCCCGGCAGGACACCGAAGCCACACAGTCCCGATATCGGAGTTGGGGAACAATTTAATGTCCCCCATCCTGATCTCTCCCGCGCTGCAGCCAGCTGCCTTCACCACCTCAGAGAGGATATCCTCCCTCGGAGTGAGGGCCATCAGCCCTCTCAAACGGACCTCCTCCATGCGGGAGGGACGACCCACCTTGACTCCGTCCTGAGTAGGAAAGTCCACTCCCCGGAGCTCGGACGCCAACTCATCTGCCAACCTGGAAGAATCCCCCCCACGGATGGACAGAAGGATGCTCCCCGTCGCTCCCCGGCGAAGGCGCATCGAGTGAATGCCCAGTTTGGGCAGATCCACCCGCTGCCTCGCCTCACGGAGAACTGAGGCGTAGGTCTTCTCGCGGTCCTCCTCCCTCGCCGTCCCAACCGTCAGTGAAACCACCGACGACAAAGGGAGGGAGGGAGGCACTCGTCTCTTTCTTCCTTCGCGAGCTGGAATGCTCGCCGCACCACCACCAGGAGCAGGCCCCGAACGACGCCTACGACCGCCACCACCAGCTACAGCCCCGCGCCAAGAGACGTCCGCCGAAACCTCCGCAGAAGCGGAAGCAGCGGAGCCCCCCGGAGCGGGAAACCGCATCGGCGCAGTTGCGCCACCAAGACCTCGCTGTACGGGCGCACGCATGGGCGTCGCTCCGAAGGGAGCGGGCCCAGCCCGCCCCGCAAGCTCCGACCTCAAAGAGGCCACAACAATCAACGCAATGTCGCCCCTCAAGTCGTTAATACGACGATCGATAAGGAACGACACCGCCGCCACCGTGACCGGACAATCGTCCCGTTGCCGCTCAGCAGCAAACCCTAAGGATCCGCCGGCCTGATCCGAAGAAGAGGAACGAGCACGCCGCCTCCTCTTTCTCTTCTTCCCAGTACTTGGGAAGTAACGAGCCTCCACCCCAGGCAAAACGGCCCGGAGAGAAGCCAGCTCCTCCCTCGCACTCTCCAGCTGAGTTTCAAGAGCCGAAATCCTCAGCCGAAGACCCTGGTTTGCGCTGCGAAGCGCATCCATCCCAGGGTCGGCGTCCGTCGCGACCCTCGTGATGAGCTCCTCGATCACACCACCCAGCTTCATCGAAGAAGTCCGAAGCTCCATGGCAAAGAGATCCTCAATGCCATGCACTCCGGCCAACTTCTCCACTTGAGTGGTGGCGACCCCCGCCCCTAGGGCGGGATCAAGCGTCCCCCTTTTTTTTTTTTTTTTTTTTTGACGCAGTGGGAATCCTCATGGATACCACCGCTCCCCGGGAAGAGAGCGGATGGTTATGTGGGACTTCTTGTTCTCCTTGGCCGATCCACGAATGGATCGGTCAGGGGAGGGGATGCCGGAGCGTTGGCCGAACTCCGACGGGTTAGCGCCCTCATTTGAGTGGAACTAAAATTGTCGATAATTATCGATAATTTTAATTCCGCTATTATCGATAATAATCCATATATGTCAAAAAGCTATTTTAGTGTGTTCAACATATTGAAATCAGACAATATAATATATTTTTACTGTCGAATCATCTCGCACACGCATCTAAGCGTCAATGACAGTAAAACATACATATATAAATGTGTCTCTTTATGACATAGTTGAACACAATTTCAATATTGCTCTTTTATATATTTTGATGATATATGCATATTTTCATGTATTTTTCAAAGGAAATATACAATCTACCATATATATATATATATATACAAGGTGGTTCAAAAGTCCGGCAACGGTCAATTATGTCCAAGAAATAGTGGTCTTATGAATAAAATATAAAAATTGCAAGGTTCAACCCGGGAAAAATTTTTTATATATAATTATATCTAAATAATTATATAATTATACATAATTATATGTGAAATATGTTCATTTTATATATAATTAAATTTATTTATATATAAATTATGAAGTTCATGTATAATCTCATGTCAAGTTATATATGAAACATTATATATATTTATATATGTGAATACTTATTTATTATATATACATATATATATATATATATATTTATATAAGTATATGTATATAAAAAGCTCTTTTATCTAATTATATATAGACATATTTCATATTTAATTTTGCAATTATATGTATAATTTTATATATTTCTATATAATTTTATATTGTTATATATAAAAATTGTTTCTAGGAAAAATAAGATATTTTATGGTGACCTTTACTTTGACGTAGGGGTCAAATTTAGAGGTCATTTCAAGATCAACTTTTATTAAACAAAACCCTCTATTTTTATTAGATATTCTTGTAGCTTATCTCGAGAATTTTCCAAAACACTAATAAAATATTTTTTTATGTACTTATTGAGTTATAAAGGTTTGAAGTGAACAATTCTTTTATAAAATTGACAATATCTTGTAAAACATTCAATTTTCATTATACATTTATACTTTTTATGCACGGAATAATAAGACCAATCAATAGGTGCAAAGAAAACACAGTTGCAAAAGACGTATGTAATTTTCAAGAAGCAACTGCCCAGCAAACATTATAATTGCTATATAACACGTAAATAACGTGCATGTAACATGTAACATACACGTTAGTTGTAATTTCCCACTTATGAATTCTATTATTTATTGTAATTATAGATAGGATAGTGACTTAGCGAAAGATTATCTTTCGGCATCCTACAATATCGATGCTATCTGGGATGTAATTACAATATATAAATAACATATGTCATATTACAAATGTTACATCTATGAGTGAGAAATTACCGTATATGTTACATGTAACATGCACGTTATATAGTATTATATACATGTAACATAGCAGTTATATTTTGTGTTTGCTGGGTGCATTTTCTTTACACCAAATTGGTCTCATTATTATGTGCATAAAAATAAAAAGTATGATAACGTAAAACTGAATATTTTACAAAGATATAATTTTATGTCAAACAATTACTTCGAATCTTTATAATTCAAAAAGTACTTCATGAAAAAATGTTTTGAAAATCTCTCCTCCAATTTTAAAGTCGACCAGACTGGCAATAATTTATTTTAAATAATTAGTTAAATTACAACGTTTCGGCTGTCATTGCAGCCCTTTTCAAGTAATCTATAAACAATTATATACATATAAATATACTCTTAATGCGCTTAATCATACAAATAATTATAAACTTACAAAAATATATATGTTTACATACCAGATTAATACAATAAATCATATTCACAGCAAACCCCCGACAAAATTAACCATTGTTTTG